AGAACTATGAGAGTTACAGTTGAAGAAATCTGTAGTTGCAAGAAAATTGTATTCTCAGCGACTTTCTTTTTCTACAGGAAGCTTATTGGATTTCTTGAAAAGTGCGGCTGGCTGCAAAGTACAGTTACCGAAGCTAATAGATTTTTCCGCACAGGTAAAAATATTGGTTCAAGACATGAATTAGCCTTCTCTTCTCTTAGCTGCCCATTTCCGTATTCCTGGGGTTTACGAGTTTCCGTATGTACGGGTTTTTGCGTCATGAGCTGACATCACTTTTTCCATTAGTTGAAGAAAAAGAGGAACAGATTCTCTTGTCTCTGCATATTTAAACACAAAGAATAATCAGTCAGTCAGTCATTTTCTCAAGAATGAAAGATCTCATTAGATTTACAAATCTAAGTTTAAGTTCAAATTTCTATATCATGTGACAACCAGAATAATGATGATGCAACTTGTATTAATGAATTGGAAAAATGAAGAAAAAAATGGCTGGTTAAAGTGTCATGGACATCATACAGTATGTACAGTCATAACCAACTGCTTCAAAAGTCAATCCTTTTAATTGTCTTTTGGGTGAAAAAAAACAAAAACTAAATGCAAGGAAGAATGTTTGTTTTCGGTATGAGTCTTAAGGACTTAAAGATCTGATTTCTGGTGAAACTGCACTAAATGGCAAAATTGCACATCCTGTTTCAGAGAGTGAAAGAGGATGCCAGTGGGGAAGTGAGACAACACAATTTTCCCTTTGTTAAAGCAACTTTTACTCTGTTAAAATATGCTGATTTGGTGCTACTTTTCTTAAAAGTATCAATTGTCAATTAAAAAAAAAACCTTACTGACCTCAAACTGAGTGTATGTTTGTGTATGTGTCAGTGATGCTGAGTTTGTGTGTGTCTCTGCAGATAGCTGAAGGTATGGCCTACATTGAGAAGAAGAATTATATCCACCGAGACCTGAGAACAGCTAATGTGTTGGTTTCAGACAGCCTGTTGTGCAAAATAGCTGATTTTGGCCTGGCCAGAGTAATTGAGGATGACCAATACACAGCCAGAGAAGGTGAGTGTGTGACACATTTCAGTGGTTTAGCAACATATTGGATGGACAAGTCATTCTCTACAGCATTGCTATGTCAGACGCCGCTCCAGACTGTGCCTGCTAAGGCTGTTAATCACACTGATGTTGTGATAGTTTTCCTGCATCAGCAGACCTGACTGATCTGTGTGAATTTGTGTGCTCTGTGTCTCAGGAGCAAAATTTCCTATCAAATGGACAGCACCCGAGGCTATCAACTACGGTTCTTTCACCATCAAATCAGATATGTGGTCCTTTGGGGTTCTCCTGTATGAGATTATAACATATGGGAAAATTCCGTATCCAGGTAATAGAATTTTGTTAATGGCACCTTGATTACATTTGAGTCTAAATAAAGCATTCCAACACCAGTATATTGAGAACAATCAGCATTACTCCTCCAAGAGAGAGCTACATGTCACAAAACTGATTCTTTTGTCAGGACTTTTTTCGACATCTACTGGTCAAAGTGTGTTAGATACTTTAAGCATTTCAGTTTTGCTCAGTTTGAAATATCTGAAACTGTGAATTGTGTAATTTCTGTGATGCAAATGTTACCGAATGTAATTGTGAAAATAATGACTTGCATTCTGAGCACTCATTGGTTGAGAAATATATTTAGCTCTATATTAAGCTATATTAAAGGGGTCATAGGACGTTGCTAAAAAATAACATTATTTTGTGTATTTGGTGTAATGAAATGTGTTTATGCGGTTTAAGGTTCAAAAAACACATTATTTTCCATATACTGTACATTATTGTTTCTCCTCTATGCCCCGCCTTTCTGAAACGCGTAGATTTTTTACAAAGCTCATCGTTCTGAAAAGCGAGGGGTGCTCTGATTGGCCAGCTATCCAGTGCGTTGTGATTGGCCGAATACCTCAAGTGTGTGACGGAAATGTTACGCCCCTTACCATACTGTGATGCCCTGTGTCCCGGCGCGACAAGACAAAACCAATAAAACCCATTATAAACAAGGCATTTGTTGCATCCAGTGGGGACATAATTACTGATTATAATGACTTATACTGTCTTTTTACGTGTTGCGTTGCATCGCGCCACGTAAACATAAAACCATGTCTGCATTTGTGATAGGAGAAACGACAAACAACAAGCCTACTCTACACTGTTCAAAACTCACGTTTGAATCATCAGTGGCAAATTATTTAAATATGAAAGCGTACTTACAGACTGTGAATCAGCATTATTTGTCAGAACACCGGCATTGTAGGCTGCTCTCCCAGGAAACAGTCCTTGTCCTCCGTAAAATGCGTTGCTCACATCTGAATATTTGGGTTGAACTGTTCTGGAACAGTGTTGTAAGTATAACTTAACCTCTGATTTCTAGTCGTGTCCTCTTTTGGAAGGCCAAACAAAGTAGTTTCGCTTTCACAACAAAACACAGCGTCTCCACGATATGACGGCGGCGACAGCAATACTACAGCGAGAATAAAAGTTACACCTTCTTTATGCAAATCGTTATGCAAATCTTCCCACACAGTGACGTAGACATGTGGGGGCGTGTTTAAAACGAGGCGTTTTAGGAGGGCGTGTACGAGTCTTAACTTTTATTAAGAATATCTCTTTAGGTTTGAGACTTTAGTCTTTGCAGCTTTAGGGATCTTATCTATTCACAAACAGCTTGTAACACTCCAAAGAGAAAGGAAAACTTGAAATAGCATCATATGACCCCTTTATGGCAAAACGCTATAAAGGCAAAACCTTTTTATGCACTGGTCAGTTTTGAGATTTTGGGCCATTTTGCTTTCATTACGTCTTCCTTCAAGACTGGTGGAAAGAAAGCATCCAAAGTATACATTTAATTGTCTAATTTATTCCACTGAGCCAGAAATCTCCACTTTGGTAGCACTTACATAAACCAAACTTTACAGTTTTATTCCTTTTTGTATTCTGAAATATTTTTCATGTTTGTTCATATACCATTCATCTGATCTACATAACATTTTATTCCTAAAAACTTAATACATTTATTCAAGTATTTTCTGATTTATGAAGTGATAAAAAGAGATATTCAAATCCCCCTCTGTAACAATCTTTAATGTCACAAAAGGAAACAGGAATTTTGAACCTGGCTTTATCCAATGTTACAGTTTCTGCCCTGAAAATGTATGCAAATGAGTGCATATTTAATTAGATAATGTATCAATTGCATATTTAAAAAAAATATTTTTGTCGTCTTGTACTGTGATTAATCAACTAGGAAAGTATGGTGATGTCTTTTAGTTAAAATTAGTTAAAACACCTGTGGTGTCTTGCCGTAATCATAGACAAAAATACCTTTCTGAAAAGACTCCTTGTGACATCTATTACTCAGTTTTTCTCTTTCTCTCTGTCAGTCCACTTACACTTACACTTTCACTTCTTTCTTTTTTCTTTGTCTCAGGTATGAGTAACATTGAAGTCATGAGCTCTGTTCAGAGAGGTTACCGGATGCCCCGTCCTGAAAACTGTCCCACTGAACTTTATGAGATCATGACCACGTGCTGGAAGAGTAAACCAGATGACCGGCCCACGTTTGACTATATTCAGAGTGTACTAGATGACTTCTACACAGCCACTGAGGGCCAGTACCAGCAGCAGCCATGAGGATGCAAAATCATATTTTTGTACTGTTTCAGGACGATCAAAAGATCTGTGATTTATCTATGAATCGATGTACTAATGTGTAACTAATAATGGGATCAATCTGCTTACTTATGTGTAAGCAAGGTTCAGATTTTCTATTTCTGCTTCAAATTGAAGTCTTAACAGCCTGTTTACTACTTTTGCTCTTTACATTCAAATTTCAATGGCTGCATTTCAATTTGTAAATAATTTTGTGTTTCAAAGTACCCTACCAAAGTTTAATTGTTATTTTTACACATCAAAAACTTTTTTTTTAAACTAGGGCTTTGCGAACTGGAGTCTGGGGGCTGCTATAAGGTCTGCAAATAAATTCAGAGCAAATAAAATATTTTACTTTTCAAGTTAACTGTAAAGCTGTTTTGGAAGGATATTTATTGTAAAGGAGCTAAACCAATACATTTGAATTGAAATCATACTTTTTTTTCAGATGGAATGAATCATTTATAATTGACATTATACAGCTGCCTATATATATTTTTTTAAGCGGGACCTTCGAAAAGCATCATCATATTTTAAGGTTCTTGGAAACAAAATGTTTGAAAACCTCTGGTTTAAATTAAAATAATTGGATGACTAAATTAAATCCATGCACTGTAAACCACTGTAAAGAGAGTGTGATCTTGACCTTTTTTTTAAAAAAAATGTTGTATGACATATTTTAATAACAATATTGATAACGTTACAATAATGAACAGTGACAGAGTAATTAAGTAAATTGCCCGGCCTTTGATTAGCTAAGAATGAAATGCTTTGTATATTTAAAATATTTTGTACATTTGTACATTATCTAGAAACCTAATAAAGTGAATCTTTTGGTTGTACGCAGTTCTAGGTTGTACAGAATTATATATAAAATATATATGCATAAAATACAGAAAACATCAAATGCAATACTACCAAAACTAAGGAAATTAGTTTATCTGATGGTCTTCTTTAAAGGGATAGTACACCCAAAAATTCAGAATCTGTGATCATTTACTCCCCCCTCAAGTTATTCCAAACCTGTGCGAGTTTCCTTCTTCTGTTGAACATAAATGAAGACATTTGAAAGAATATGGGTAATGAACAATTGAAGGTCTCCAGTGGGAAAAAAAATGTTTTTCTTTAATTTCTTTTTTTTTCTGGGTGTGTTCAGCAGAAGAAAGAGAATAATGTAATTGGGACAACTTGAGGGTGAGTAAATGAGCGCAGAAATGTCATTTTTGGGTGAACTACACCTTTAAGTCCCGCCCGCCCATTCTTGGTCATGTGACCATTTCAAGATGGCCGCGCCCTCAGTTTGGAGGCGTGACGTTCATTAAGTTACAACACGGAGTCAGGCAGACGGTAAGACAGCTTGTCAATGCTTCTAAGGAGTTATTCGCCATTAAACAACAAGAAGATAACAGCTTGTCAAGCCTGCAAACTCTTATTCAAGCTCTTCTTTGACGCTGGCAATAATGGATAAAGACAGCCTGATTCTGTAAGTTAATGATGAATGAATGCTGATTGGCGTGTTTGAATGATTTCATTACACATGTTGTAGAACCAGAGCTCACTGACATGATCAAATCATTCTGTAATTCCGCATTCTCTAATACGACTGGCATCTGTGTTAAGATACAAGCAGATTCGTTTATAAAGCATATATCGATTATACAGGCACTGGTAATACAAAGTAGCTAGTATCTATTGTGAGAAAAGTAGCATGTTACATAAGCAGTTTAGTAACTGTAAACTGTGGGAAACTCATATCCTTCAGCTGGCTTATTTATGTTTTGAATAGATGTATTTTCTTGATGTGTGCATATGTACTTTGGACGTAATTATACAGTTCAAAGTGTTCAAATGTCAGATATAAAGTAAAAAAAAAAAGATTTGCAATAATAATGACGACTGATTACTGATTAATGTGTTTAAATCACAAAATAAAATCTATTATTTTATAAACAAAGAGCGTGTTATCTCAGTATTGATAATACAATAATGATTATATATAATTATTTATTACAAATATATTTACATTTCAGTATACATCACATACACTAAAGTGACCGTTCAATAGTTTTTATTATTATCGCATTTGAAACCAGTTGTTTTTGTGGAAACATTTTTTTATAGATTCTTTGAAGAATAGAGTGTTAAAAAGAGATAAGAGTTAAATGGTTAAATTGTTACACAAAATTATTTTGTAACAATTAAAAAAATATTCACTGTTTAGGTCCATTTCGATCCACTTTTTATTCATGATGCATACATTCTTGTTGTATGAAAGTATTAGTTAGTTATTTAGTCATTTAGCAGACGCTTTTATCCAAAGCGACTTACAAATGAGGACAACAGAAGCAATCAATTGTAGTATTAAAAACAACTAAAAACAGATCCAAAGCTAAAACTTTATAAATGCTACTTATACACATTTTAAAAATAAAGAAATTAAATAAAAATGACAAATGCATACAACAACATTTCAAAACTTAACATTTAAATGAAAAACAAAAAATAAAGCTAAAAACAATTCAAAATATTAAAGAACAAAAGGTATAAGAGTATAATAATGATTCTAACATAACACTAAATTTAAAAATGTAACATAACACTGAGCCAAAAATCAAAAAAACAACGTACATGTTGTTTGTACACACACACACACACACATATATATATATATATATATATATATATACACACTTATAAATTCAATATATATATTATTTCATTTCCATTTAGTTTGTTGAAGTATTAAAATAACTCAAATTAAACAAAACTAAAAACTTAATAAAAGACCTATACAGACATAATCAATTCAGACATAATTTAACTAAAATTAAAATAACAAATACAAATAATACAAATCAAACGACAGTAGTTTATCAGTTATCCTAAAAAATAACACTGCCAAACACACATGCTAAAAAACAACAACTTACTTACACATAGTAAGAAATGGTTATAAAAACTGAAACAGACGTGAAACAAGTAGTAGGAAAGAGGAGAAATAAAAAGTGATACTTATTGTACGTATTAAGTTCTTAAAAAGAAAACATACTGACCTTAAACTTTTGAACGGTAGTGTATATCTGCATGGCTTTGTAATTTAGACAACAGGGTGGGTTTTGTGTGGCTCTCTCTGCACAAATGCTTATCAAGCTGTGAAGAAAGAGGAAACCGTTAGTCCCCTGATCTCAAAAGCCCTTATCTGCTCTCTTCACTTGCTGCTGAAAACATCTGTGAAACCTGATCATCATCTGAACCAAAGGGAGGGGCTTCTGAGCACAAATTAATTCCACTACAGAGTTGAATCATTTGTGAAAAGTAATGTTGTGTGAATTAGTTACTGAGATATTTTGGCATTGCTGTTTTCCATCCCAGCCCCAAAGACTTTCCAGAACTGAAGAACGACACATTCCTGAGAGCCGCTCAAGGAGAAGAGATCGAGCACATTCCAGTGTGGTGTATGAGACAGGCTGGCCGCTATCTGCCAGGTATGTATGTACCAATCAGGTCAGTGCTAAATGTGATCGTTTACCGTTTACCGTTTCTTTTTATTCATTATATGCAGTAATATTTACTAACTAGTGTCTCTGTGGCTCTGTTAACAGAGTTCAGGGAATCGAGGGCAGCGAAGGATTTCTTTGAGACATGCCGCTCACCTGAAGCTTGCTGTGAGCTTACGCTACAGGTCAGCACCACTGAGCACCTTCATTCTTAGCTGCTTCTTATAGCATATAGAGTTTTAACAATGTCTCAATTTTCTGTTTTAGCCACTCAGACGATTCCCATTTGATGCTGCCATCATCTTCTCTGACATCTTGGTGGTCCCTCAGGTAAATGAAGGTCAATTGACCTCTAAATTACTGAATTACCAATTAACATTAGTGTGCAATGTCTGTTAATGTATAAAATGTGTATGACTAGGCCATGGGAATGGAGGTTCAGATGAGTCCAGGAAAGGGCCCCACTTTCCCAGAACCACTGAAGGAGCCTGAAGATCTGCAGAGACTAAAGACTAAAGTGGACGTGTCGTCTGAACTCGACTACGTTTTTAAAGCCATCACACTGACACGACACAGAATAGAGGGAAAAGTCCCTCTCATCGGCTTCACTGGAGCTCCAGTGAGAAACCAAGCGACAATCCTCACATAACTAGAGAACATGCTTTGCAAATGCACAGTGTGTCACAAGAGTTTTGAGGATAACAAATAAAAAGATCAATCGTTTAGTATTTCTCTTGGAAGCTAAATAGAAGCAAATGTCTAGATGGTTTACAGTAGCTATATGGTTGTTTTGCAAAGTTAATAATTGAAACTACATTAATGATCTCCATCATTGTCTCTTCTGAATGGCAGTGGACTCTAATGTCCTACATGATTGAAGGAGGAGGCTCCACGACACACTCAAAAGCTAAACGCTGGCTCTACAGGTACCCAGAGGCCAGCCACAAACTCCTGAGCCAGCTAGCAGACGTCATAGTGGAGTATCTTCTCGGACAGGTGAAAGCTGGAGCTCAGGTGAGAGAACGGATGAATTGAGATCAAGGAGGAGAACAGTTAAAAAATCTGTAGCACTATTTAGATGTTCAGTAAAGACTTTACAGTCACAGAATGTAATTTAGAGTCATATTTATCTAGTTTCCTTAAAATGTCTTTCCTTTAGGCTCTGCAGGTTTTCGAGTCTCATACTGGTTGCTTGGGCCCAGTGGAGTTTGAAGAGTTTTCTCTGCCTTATCTGAGAGACATTGCTCGCCGTGTTAAAGACAAGATCAAAGAATCTGGTTTGGACAGTGTGCCTATGGTGAGTAGAGTTTGACATTGTAATATCTCTTGAGCTTGAACACCCTTTTTAGTTTTTAGCTTTAACTGTATTACGAAGTAACACTTAACTTGAAGTAACACTTAATATGTGATTTGAATATGTAAAACAGCAGCATATGTGATTCATCCCAAGGTGTCAGTAACATGAGAAGTGATGCAATTTATTTATTTATTTTTAAGGCTAGAGTTAAGCTGAAAGCAAGGGACTGTGAAACTACAGTGATATAAGAGGGTTTTATTATTATTTTAATTATATATATATATATATATATATATATATACTTATTATATAGCAGCAATGGTTAATATTCATTCAGATGGTTATAAATGCCATAAACATTTGATATATTTTCATTTAGTCATACTAGTGCTGTCAAATTGATTCATTGCATCCAAAATAAAGGTTTGTGTGTGTAATGTGTGTTTATTTATATATCACACACTTTTATTTTGGATGCGATTCATCTATGGCAAGCCGTTTTGACTTTTATTCCTTCACAGGATATTAATTATTGATATCAACAATTCAATTTTCACTAGCTAAAATGCTAATTCTTGATATCTGTAATTGTATTTTGATATCTTTGTAGTTGAAATTCCAATTTCACATTTTAGAAATACAATTCTTACTAGTAAAAACATTTTTGATCTCAGTGACTGCATGGTTATTAGTGCAAATGGCTACTATTGATATCAACAATTGAATTGTTACTAGTAAAAATTTTCATTTTTGATATCAATAATTCGATTGTCAATAGTGACAATGTTACTTTCTGATATCATGAATGTGATTGTTACTAGTAAAAAAGCCATTTTAGATATCAGGAATTATATTGATATCAGAAATAAATGTTCAGATATCAGAAATAACAAATGTAACGCGTTGAAATACATTTACAGATATCAAGAATTAACATTTCAACTAGTAAAAATTTAATTCTTGACATCAGGAATTCACATTTTACTAGTAATTTACTGAGTAATTATTGATATCAACAAAGGCAGTTCATATCTGAAATTGCCCTTGCAACTAGAGGTAATTAAATAATGTTGTAACTAGTAAAAATACTTTTACAGATATCTAGAAATTACAGGTAACAATATCTATGGTAATGAGTTTAATGAATATTTATGAGATGTTTTTCCCATAATCCAGTATGCCAAAGATGGCGGAAGAACATCCATGCTCCTCCTTTATTTACTAATTTAGTCAATGAAACATAATTATATTATGGCTGGATTTTTTTTTTTTGTTAATTGTTTAAAAAAAAAAAAAAAAAAGTTTATTTTTATTGGCCACTAAGTCCTTCGGATAATTAAAGGGGAAAAAAATGAACAAGGCATTAATTTATTATTTATTTTATCATTGTCATGAACATAAAAAAAAACTCAATAAGCCTTCAACAAAAATAAAAAAAATAAAACCTTTTTGTAAACATTAGCTTTTGTGTGCAGCTAGGCTACTAAATTAGGTAAAAACAGATGTGTAATGTGTCAAACAATGTTTGAATGTTTTGCTGGACGATTTTTTTATATCGTTCCATTTACATACGTCTATAATACAGAACGAGTTGTCATATTTGATTAAAGGCGGGTGCATAAAAATGTAATGCAATGTTATTAGCTGCTGTATATATTTATTTATTTAAATTTTGATATATTATTATTATGTGCGCCCACACTTTCTCAAATGGGATAGCCTAATGATGAGACAAACTATTTACACTCTGCCCAATTCGGCTCCAATTTTCTTGACCATTGGGACCAAACGGGTGTGTAGCTAAAATATGACATGATAGACACTGTAGACACAGTAACTGCATTACTTTTATATAACCTGTTCTCCAGTTCTTGAAGTGCAGGGCCTACAAGATGAATGATAAAGTCCTATTGAACCTCTTTCTTATGCCCGTCTCAGCCATTTCAATGTTACATTAAATATGGCACTACACTGATACACTAACTCTTCTGACAGTTGCTTAAGACATATTTGAATAAAATATGCAACAGTCTCTATCAATTGTAGCAGGTTCAGAGTGGAATAGACAACGATTTAATAAGAATTATGTAGTCTTGCCCATCTGGTTCTTTGTTTATTATTATTATTATAATTGTTGTTGTTTTACTTCATAGCTATAAATGTGTTTACTTAAGACCTAACAACACTTGTATCATAAAATAATTAATGAATGCTTTATTTGTAACCTTTTTCTGTTTTGGAAATGTGTCTCTCTAATATTCCTTTTATCTTTGAGTGTTGTTTTGGCAAAACAACACGGAATAGAACGGAATAGAGACTACAGGCTGTGTTATCTAAAAAAGAGATAAATAAAATGGTGTCTTCACTTTAAATGTACAGCACTATAGCCTGTTTAATCATGATTGGAAACTTGACAAATGGGTTTTATTGGGGTAAATGTAAAAAAACAAAAAAAACATGTAATGATCTATGAGCATTTCACATATTTCTATGTACACTAATAATATGAAACTACTGTCAGTACACTACGGGGTATACGCATTTATTGCATTTCATAAAAAAAAAAAACGGGAAAAAAAAGACTAGGTTTAAAAGATTCCTTATCCTGTGGCTCCCTCTAGTGGATAAAATGTATATCACAGCCTCCATCTTCCAGTTGAAATAGCTGATAGTTTAGAATTAGATTTTGCAATGGACTCTATTTACACGAAGTGAAAATAGCAGTATTTTTTAATGATATGCTATTTACACTAAGTGCAAATAGCCATAGATTATATTTACACAATTTATAAATAGGACTATTTTCTTTGCGATAATAGCAGTTAGATGCTGTTTCTAATACTTGGTGCAAATAGTGGCCGATATCTGAACCCCAATATTGTAAAACAGTATGCAATAATAATGTATTGAGTGTACATTATCATTTTTATTCAAATTATTAAATGGATGCATCTTTGGGACAATAAAGCCCTCCCTACACCTAAACTAAACTGATAGAGACACCGTTATTTTCCACTCTTTGATTATATCCTTCATTTTTATTGAAAATAAATGCCTTTCCAATGTGATACGGGATGTGAAAAGGGAGAAGAACGAGTTCGGCAGAAAGAGGAATCGAACTCGGGTCGATCGGGTAAAAAAAAAAAAAAAAAAAAAAATAAAAAGTACTGTTATGGGCTTTACCCGCACCACTGGAGTTGCTTTAGAGTGCACACTTTTTGCAATGTTGTCTAACACAACCACATGTTGGTGGGTGGAATTAGTGTAAATAGCCTCTGTTAACAAGAAAACAAAATACAGTTCCTTGCGAAAGAAAAAAAAAAAGTTTTTAAATTAAAACTGCTTGAAATTAACTCATTTACGAAGTTGTGACAGTTCTGTTTTTGCTTTGTCAATATGGTGTATGGAGTGTAGATTGATGTGGAAAAAAAGTAATTTAAAGCAGTTTATCATAAGGCAGGAACATGAAAAAAATGAAGTGCTATGAATACTTTCGCAAGGCGCTGTAAATATTAAAAATACAAGAGAATAGCATTTTATTTTCGTGAGAGGGCCATCGAATTTTGAATATATTTGAATATATTATATTTTTGAATATTAAAATATAAACAAACTATTGAGCTGTTAATCGTTATATAATGTATTTATTGATATATTAATGAAAATGATTAAATAGTGTTAACATATTTTCTTTTTGAGCACAGGTATTCAGAGAACAGCAATGTCACACACTATGCACACTTCACATGCACACTTGTAATAACACCATTTGCCACTAGCTGTCAGTATCAGGTCATGTTTTCTTCCAGGCATCTCTTTTGAAAGTCTCCAATGATCCTTCAGCTCCTCTGTAACTTTTGTCTTTTCTGTTTCATTTGCAGATCGTTTTTGCTAAAGATGGCCATTATGGGCTTGAGGACCTCTCCGAGTCTGGTTATGAAGTTGTGAGTCTTGACTGGACCACAGATCCACGTTCAGCACGGTTAGTCACAGAAATGTGATGCAGCTTTGATGTGAGATTTTGTCTTCTGATTTCAGTGTTATACCTACGCATACAGCGCCTTGCAAAAGTATTCACACTCATAAGCAATTCTCGCTTCCAGGTCCTTTACTGCAGTTTTGTTCCTCCATCTTTTTTTTTTTTTTTTTCAAAGAACTGCGTCTCTCATTTGAATAGGTGTGATTTTTGGCCTCATCTTCTAGGCAGATTTGCTCCAGATTGTTTAGCTTTATTAGATGACATTTGTGCACCACATATTTCAAATAGTGTCACAGTTGGAGTATGAAGAGGGCTTTTATCACTGCTGTCCTTCAGATTCAGTCTCAATTCACAGCCGGAATGTTGAGTGTTTCTTGTTTTTTTATATATATATTAGTTATTTTAATGCTTCATAGCTAAAAGTCAGTTGTGAGAGAGTTGTGTCCTCATTACACTGTTCTGTTTCATTTTATGCAGATGAAAAACTCTAGTTTATAGAATTAAAAACCGAAATGTCAAAGACAGCCAAATGTCAATATAGGATTTCTAATCCAGTAAAATGAAATGCTTTGGTTGAGTCTGAATAGTCCATTAAGGCACTGTGTGTACAGAATGGACATAGAGTACCAGTCAAAGCTTTAGACAAACAACTAATTTTTTTTTTTAAGAAACTCCTTGTCTAGATTACACATTCTCATTCGTGCTGGACACATATATGGGCTGCTCTTCCTACACTTCCCACATCTGGTTCAATACATCCATTTCTAATAAAGAAATTAATTACAAAATTTAGTTAAAAAAAAAAAAACCTTCATACAGAGACAATTTTTATTTTAAGCGAAAGCGACGTGACATGTAGCCAAGTATGGTGACCCATACTCTGAATTAGTGCTCTGCATTTATCCCATCCAAAGTGCACACACACAGCAGTGAACACACACACACCGTGAACACACCCGGAGCAGTGGGCAGCCATTTTTTTTGCTGCGATGCCCGGGGAGCAGTTGGGGGTTTGGTGCTTTGCTCAAGGGCACCTCAGTCGTGGTATTGAAGGTGG